AGATATATATTAATGCTTAAAACTTGGTGCTTTTTGTGCTTTTTTGGTACCTTTTCGTGAAAACTTTGGTACCATTATGAAATAAATTTTGGCAGCCCTGGCGGGCTCTCAGTTACCCTTGTCATGCTGAGTTTCACGTCCCCAGATTATTTTTATAGATATTTTTTGTTTTTGTTTTTTCTCAGGAGTAAGTTATTCTCCTCCTAGTATTGACTTTTCAGTTACTGGCACCTGCTGTCTATGTTCAACTATCAGTAAAATAGGTACCTGGGTGTTACTCGACTTATGTGGGACGCATCCTGGGACAAAACAGACCTAATTTGTCCGAAATACTCAGCAATACACTCAGATCACAACATAATAGTGATACAGACATGTATGCACAGGGCTCCTGACCGGCAAAATGTGAGCAGTCATGAAGGTCTCTCCACGAAATTCAATTTCAATAACAAAATCAAACAACGGGATCAAGTAAATCATGTCCTAAATGAAACAAGCTGGGAAGATATCCTAAACAACACAGATCCGAACATTTGCCTTGAAAAAATGAAGTCTGTGGTTCTTGAGATCTGCTCAATACTCATTCCATTACGAGAAAGAAAGAGAAGATGTAAACTAGAAAGAGAGAGACGTTCCCTATACAGACGAAAGCGAAGAGTCACAGAGCTACTGAGAAGGGCCAGTATATCTGAAATACGAAGAGAGGCACTGGTCAGTGAAAATGTAAATATCGAACTTAAGCCGAGGGAATCTTAAAGGAGACAAGAATCACAAGAACTAAAATCCATAAAGGAAATTGAAAAAAAAAAATACTTCTTCTCTTATGCCAAATTTAAGGGAAAAGCAACATCCAGTACTGGGCCCCTGCTTAGGCAGGATGGGACATACACAGATGATAGCCAAGAAATGAGTGAGATACTAAAGTTCCAATATGACTCAGTGTTCAGCGAGTCACTGCCCAGACTAAGGGTCGACAATCCAAATGAATTCTTTGTGAATGAAACCCAAAATCTGGTCATCTCAAAAATCTCAGATATTATCCTAACTCCACAAGATTTTGAAAAGGCAATAAATGACATGCCCAAGCACTCTGCCCCAGGTCTAGACTCATGGAACTCTGTGTTCATCAAGAACTGCAAGAAACCCCTATCGCATGTTTTAAGCATTCTATGGAGAGGGAGCATGGACACAGGGGTTATCCCACACATACCCCACTCATAGCCCCACTCCACAATGGTGGCAGTAAAGCAGTTGCAAAGAACTACCGACCGATAGCACTAACATCACATATCATAAAAATCTTTGAGAGGGTTCTAAGAAGCAAGATCACCAACCACCTAGATACCCATTAGTTACACAACCCAGGGCAACACGGGTTTACAGCAGGTCCCTGCTGCCTGTTCCAGCTACTGGACCACTATTGCAAGGTCCTGGATGCTGTAGAGGATAAACAAAATACAGATGTATTATACACAGACTTTGCAAAAAGCCTTTGACAAGTGTGACCATGGTGTAATAGCACACAAAATGCATGCTAAAGGAATAACAGGAAAAGTTGGTAGAAGAATCTACAACTTCCTGACAAATAAAACACAAAGAGTAATAGTAAACAGAGTAAAGTCCCAGGCAACTACGGTAAAAAGCTCTGTTCCACAAGGCACAGTACTTGCTCCCATTCTATTCCTCATCCTCATTTCAGACACAGATAGAGGCGTAAGCCATAGCTCCGTGTCTTCCTTTGCGGATGACACCCAGATCACCATGACAGTGACCTCTGTGGAAATTTATTCGGTCCTAAAAGTTCCACAGGACAGATACGGCGTACAAAGATCCCAACATGTTAAGGATAAACAGCTGGATAGGGTGGCCCTTACACCCACCCAACACGCACACACACCCGGGTTGGCAAAGGCGGTTGGAAGGTACTTCTTAATTGATAGATTTAACCTTCAGGGAAGAAGTAGGTAGTTTATACTGTTAGTACACTAATATTAGAACTGTTGAGGCAACTGTAGGTAATAATAATGTAGACCTAAGACCTTAACGTAGGTAGTAATAGGCCGATAATGCAGGCAAACACTAGGTTATGTTAGCCAGGGAGAACTGGCAGCCAAAGTTTGAATACTGGGGCACGGGTTTGAGATCGCAGTGCCCTTTCTTCTAAGACCAGACACCATCTGAGCAACAAGTGCCGTGATCAGCAGGCAGCGCCCCCACATGTCTTCACATACTAGACCTAGGGAAATCTGGTGGAGGCACCTCGACGTACCATAGATGACCTCCTCCGTCAGGCCTATACAGTAAGATGAGACCTCCCTTTTTTTCTGTAAGATTCTGGCCAGTGTCTGGGGTAAATTGCGAGTGAGTTGAGCTGTGGGCCTTGTGCAGGCGGCAGTTCATGACCAGTACGTACCGGTGTCACTCCTTCAGGCTTAGAAGCTAGTGTCCACTTCTGCATAGTTATGCTAGGGGATGCCCACCCCATTGGAAATACTAATTTCTGAGGTGCAGGCAGGTCACTAATGTCAACTGAATATTGCAGGAATTAAGGCTCCAGGTTGCACATGGGGAAGTCCAGAGGGGCTAAAGCTAAGGAAGGTTGAGGACCGGGACATATTCTCCAACACCAAGTAAGTTAGTCCTTTATACGTGCATGCAGGCGAGATTTCTTGTAACATCGGTTATTTATGAAAATCTATCCTATAAGCCACTTGTGAGGCTGAGGTACCGACCTTAGAGCTCGGTGTCAACAGAGCTTGCCAAGGTAGACAACTCACATGGAGGAAGTCCAGACAAATTTTCACAACCTCCGTCGATGACACCGCGAGACTCCAAGCGGACATCAACCAAATCTTTGAATAGGCTACTCAAAACAATATGAAGCTCATCGAGGAGGAATGTCAACTACTCAGAGTTGAGAAACTTGAGGATATTCAAAATGTATAAGGGTATACGACAAATTCTAACCATACAATAGAGTGAAAAGTAATGTGAAGGACCTGGAAGTGATAATGTCAGAGGATCTCGCCTTTAAAGACCACAACAATGTATCTACCTCACCTGTTAGGAAAATAATAAGATGAATAATGAGAAACTTCAAAACTAAGGATGCCAAGCCCATGATGATTCTCTTCAAATCGCTTGTGCTCTCTAGGCTGGAATACTGCTGTACACTAACTGCCCCATTCAAGGCTGGCGACATTGCAGACCTGGAGAGTATACAATGAACTTTCACGGCACACATAAGTACGATAAGGCACCTAAACTAATGGGAACGGTTGGAGGTCCTTGATCTGTATTTCCTGGAACTCAGGCGAGAGAGATACTTGATAATATACACTTGGAAGGTCCTGGAGGGATTGGTACCAAATCTACACACGAAAATCACTCCCTATGAGAGCAAAAGACTCGGCAGGAGATGCAACATTCCCCCGATGAAAAGCAGAGGCGCCACAAGTACATTGAGAGACAACACAATAAGTGTCTGGGGCCCAAGACTGTTCAATTGCCTCCCAGCATACATAAGGGTGATTACCAATAGACCCCTGGCTGTCTTTAAGAAGGCACTGGACAGGTACCTAAAGTTAGTACCTGACCAACCGGGTTGTGGTTCATATGTCAGCTTGCGTGCGGCAAGCAGTAACAGCCTGGTTAATCAGACCCTGATCCACCATGAGGCCTGGTCTCAGACCGAGCTACAGGGGCGTTGACCCCCGAAACCCTCTCCAGGTATACTCCAGGTATAACAAGGGGCTTTCTGTATAGTAGTATGTCATTGATGTCAGCTATGGTCTGTATACCTTGTACATGTACTGGTAGTAAATAAAGATATATTATTATTATTAATTTAAGCAGCTTATTCCTTGCAGACAGCTGGTACCTTGCAGACAGCTGGTGCCTTGCAGACAGCTGGTGCCTTGCAGACAGTTGGTGCCTTGCAGACAGTTGGTGCCTTGCAGACAGCTGGTGCCTTGTAGACAGCTGGTGCCTTGCAGACAGCTGGTGCCTTGCAGACAGCTGGTGCCTTGCAGACAGCTGGTGCCTTGCAGACAGCTGGTGCCTTGCAGACAGTTGGTGCCTTGTAGACAGCTTGTGCCTTGTAGGCAGCTGGTGCCTTGCAGACAGCTGGTGCCTTGCAGACAACTGGTGTCTTGCAGACAGCTGGTGCCTTGCAGACAGTTGGTGCCGTGCAGACAGCTGGTGCCTTGCAGGCAGCTGGTGCCTTGCAGACAACTGGTGCCTTGCAGACAGCTGGTGCCTTGCAGACAACTGGTGCCTTGCAGACAGCTGGTGCCTTGCAGACAGCTGGTGCCTTGCAGAGAGCTAGTGCCTTGCAGACAGCTGGTGCCTTGCAGACAGTTGGTGCCTTGCAGACAGCTGGTGTCTTGCAGACAGCTGTTGCCTTGCAGACAGCTGTAACCTTGCAGACAGCTGATGCCTTGCAGACAGTTGGTGTCTTGCAGACAGCTGGTGCCTTGCAGACAGTTGGTGCCGTGCAGGCAGCTGGTGCCTTGCAGACAACTGGTGCCTTGCAGACAACTGGTGCCTTGCAGACAACTGGTGCCTTGCAGACAACTGGTGCCTTGCAGACAGCTGGTGCCTTGCAGAGAGCTAGTGCCTTGCAGACAGCTGGTACCTTGCAGACAGTTGGTGCCTTGCAGACGTCTGGTGCCTTGCAGACAGCTGGTACCTTGTAGACAGCTGGTACCTTGCAGACAGCTGGTGCCTTGCAGACAGCTGGTTTCCTAACTTCCTTTTACCCAAGTTATTAAAATATATTGCCATGTTCTTTATTTAGTCATATTAGCCATTATCAGTGATAGAAGTAATAAAAGTACAGAGTAAAGATTCTGACATTCCAGTCAAGCGCGAGCAGAAGAAACAATGGCAGAGAGAAAGTCTTAATAAATCAGCATCATCTTTATTAAGGTAAAATAACAAACTTTCATCTTCTTCTGAGTGTATTTTACCAAAAGGACACTGAGTAAATAGACCGTGTGGCTGGGCTTGGTCAAGTACTTACCAACGTCCCGAGAGTGGCCATGACACTCCAAAATCTGTGATGTTATTTTCCATCTTTATCTCATACTCTATCGCAGTCAGTGTAACTGTTCTTTCTCTTGTTTCCATCTACTTTCGTTTCAAACTCACTGTTCACTGTAACTGTTCCTTTTCACATAATGACTCGACATTTTTCTCACTAACGCGGCAGACATCCTACGAGCTACAACTCCCACCTCTCCCTCGCAGGCTGGGGGCCCTGGCTGGCCCACAGGGCAACCCTTGTATACACTGTTTGTAAACAAGAACCCAGTAAAGTAACACGTCGTCCTCCGAAGAGTATTTCTTCACCACCAATCATTTATTGCTATTATATTTTCCCCAGTCTTCCCGTTAGTCTTCATGTGAGGCTCCTCATTGTAATGTGGACAACTGGAGCCTGCCTGAGCACACGGCTCCACCATTGCCTCCAGCTGCTCTCCATTGCTGTCCCACACTGTCCTATAGTTGCAGTCTCATTCTCTCCAACAGTTGCTGTGCCGTGTTGGTACTCAGGTGGAAATGCTGCACATAACAGAGGCCAGAATCATCACTAACACCAGAGTGGGAACAGTGCTGAGGAAGGAGGTGGTGGAGGCTGTACTTCGCCCAGGACCCTGCTTCACCGGCTGCTGTATTTGACCTGGAACACCAAAATATGTATAAGCAACTGAAGGAGCTAGTCACTGAAGGAGTTAGTGAGGGGAGTTAGTAACTGAAGGAGTTAGTAACTGAAGGTGTGTGGAATTAAGGCAGTAAGCGTGTGAGCACGGCTGGGTAGTGTTGGTGATTAATGGTTCAGTCGTGAATTCATCCTGAAGCCTGCTACTCCACTCCACAGTAACTTCAATCAATACGCACTAACCTTTATTCCAAACAGTAGGCAGGGATTAGTAGATGAGATTAGTCACGAGGGAGCCTTCACCAAATTCAACTTCAATAACAAGAACATAAAGTGGGACCAAGTAAACCAAGTCCTATACGATATAAGCTGGGAAGATAGACTAAGCAACACAGACCCTAACTTATGCCTAGAACAGATTAACTCGGTAGCACTCGATGTATGCTCAAGACTTATTCCTTTAAGAAAAAGGAGGAGTAGATGTAAAGTAGAAAGAGACAGGCGCTCCCTTTACAGACGACGAAAAAGAATAACAGAGCGGCTGAAAGAGGCCAATATACCTGAAATGCGTAGAGAGACACTGGTCAGAGAAATAGCAAACATCGAACTTAAGCTAAAGGAATCTTATAGGAGTCAGGAATCGCGGGAAGAACTAAAAGCCATAAATGAAATCGAAAGAAACCCAAAGTATTTCTTTTCTTATGCCAAATCAAAGTCGAGAACAACGTCCAGTATTGGGCCCCTACTTAAACAAGATGGGTCCTACACAGATGACAGTAAAGAAATGAGTGAGCTACTCAAGTCCCAATATGATTCAGTTTTTAGCAAGCCGGTAACCAGACTGAAATTCGAAGATCAAAATGATTTTTTTATGAGAGAGCCACAGAGTTTGGTAAACACAAGCCTATCTGATGTTGTCCTGACGCCAAATGATTTCGAACAGACGGTAAATGACATGCCCATGTACTCTGCCCCAGGGTCAGACTCATGGAATTCCGTGTTCATCAAGAACTGCAAGAAGCCCCTATCACGAGCTTTTACCATCCTATGGAGAAGGAGCATAGACATATAAAAATCTTTGAAAGGGTCCTATAGATACCTATCAATTACACAACCCAGGGCAACATGGATTTAAAGCAGGTCGCTCCTGCCTGTCTCAACCTAAATTTCAGCACCCATATCCAACACATAACAAAAAAAGTATCCAAAACGGTGGGGATCCTCTCCAAGATACGATACTACGTACCGCAAACTGCCCTTCTCACACTATACCATTCACTTATATATCCATACCTCACCTATGCTATCTGTGCTTGGGGTTCAACTGCAGCAACACACCTAAAGCCAATAATAACCCAACAAAAAGCCGCAGTAAGAATAATTACTAAATCCCATCCCTGGCAACACACCCCCGCACTCTTCATAGATCTAAACTTACTCCCTGTTCAGAACAACCACACTTACTACTGTGCAATCTATATCTACAGGACCTTAAATTCCAATATTAACCTTGACCTAAAACGCTTTCTTGATAGTTGTGACAGGATCCACAGGCATAACACCAGACACAAACATCTCTATGACATTCCCCGTGTTCGACTAAACCTTTACAAAAATTCAGTGTATCTCAAAGGACCTAAAATCTGGAACTCCCTACCTGAAAACTCTAGAACTGCAGACACATTCATCACTTTCAAAACTACAGTTAGAAAACATCTTATCTCCCTGATCCACCCCGACAACTAACTACATGATAACCACCTGGTGGTTCAAAATTGCACTCACTCACCCACTGACTATAAACCCAGAAATACTAATCTTAATCTTAAAATAATAAATCCTAACTAGTCATAAGTTTGCCTATGAAACTCAAATATAGACACCTTGTATTGTGCCAAAACAAAAGCATTCACATTGCTAAACTCACAAATTATGATGTAGTCACTTAGCCTTAATACTATAATCTGTAAGGATTTAATATTAAGAATTAATCTAAGTCTGCTGGAAATGCCTAGCCGTGCTAGGTGTCCTAGTGGCCCCCTCTGTAATTAGTATTTTATAACATGTAAACCACAAAATACCAAAAACCTGTAAACCCCACATTGTAACCATTATAGAGAATAAACTTGAATTGAATTGAATTGAACTACTGGATCACTACGACAAGGTCCTAGATGCACTAGAAGACAAAAAGAATGTAGATGTAATATATACAGACTTTGCAAAAGCCTTCGACAAGTGTGACCATGGCGTAATAGCGCACAAAATGCGTGCTAAAGTAATAATAGGAAAAGTTGGTAGATGGATCTATAATTTCCACACAAACAGAACACAAAGAGTATTAGTGAACAGATTAAAGTCTGAGGCAGCTACGGTGAAAAGCTCTGTTCCACAAGGCACAGTACTCGCTCCCATCTTGTTTCTTATCCTAATATCTGACATAGACAAGGATGTCAGCCACAGCACCAAGTCTTCCTTTGCAGATGACACCAGAATCTGCATGGCAGTGTCTTCCATTGCAGACACTGCAAGGCTCCAGGAGGACATCAACCAAATCTTTCAGTGGGCTGCAGAAAACAATATGAAGTTCAACGATGATAAAGTTCAATTACTCCGATATGGTAAACTTGAGGAAATTAAAACTTCATCAGAGTACAGGATGGATAATGAGAACCTTTAAAACTAGGGAGGCCAAGCCCATGATGACACTCTTCAGGTCACTTGTTCTATCTAGGCTGGAATATTGCTGTACACTAACAGCACCTTTCAGGGCAGGTGATATTGCTGACCTAGAAAATGTACAGAGAACCTTCACAGCACGCATAACGGAGATAAAACACCTCAATTACTGGGAGCGCTTGAAGTTCCTGAACCTGTATTCCCTGGAACGCAGGCAGGAGAGATACATGATTATATACACCTGGGAAATCCTAGAGGGACTAGTACCGAAATTGCACACGAAAATGACTCACTACGAAAGCAAAAGTACTCGGCAGACGATGCAACATCCCCCCAGTGAAAAGTCGGGGTGTCACTAGCACGTTAGGAGACAATACAATAAGTTTCAGGGGCCTGAGACTGTTCAACTGCCTCCCAGCATACACAAGGGGGATTACCAATAGACCCCTGGCTGTCTTCAAGCAGGCACTGGACAAGCACCTAAGTCGGTACCTGACCAGCCGTGCTGTGGCTCGTACGCTGGATTGCGTGCGGCCAGCAGTAACAGCCTGGTTGATCAGGCTCTGATCCACCAGGAGGCCTGGTTAAAGACCGGGCCGCGGGGGCGTTGACCCCCGGAACTCTCTCCATGTAAACTCCAGTGTGTTGTGAGAGATCGTGGCTTGTCCAGGTCGTCGGTGCTGGAATTCGCCGATCTGAAAGCAAGCACTAGTAAGTGCGCACCTAGTAACTAGGGTACATACATGCAAGGTAGTATACCTGGGTGTGCACCTGTATACCTGTTGGGTGAGTCACGGGCCACGATCTCGTCGTAGTCAGCTTTCGCGGTATAAATCTGTATGAAGGGAGCTACGGGTAAATCCGCGAAATCCACGAAGGAAGCAGGCCTTGTGGCTCACCAGTGTAAATGCGACTCTACCAGTCCCGGCTTGGCCTTCTCCCTGGGCACTCAAACTGCCGGGCTAAGGGTGTCTAAAGCATAATTAATGTATGGTAAGTATAATAACTACAGAAAGCTAACGCCTATCTCTAACTTAGTAATTGTAATGCATAACTTGACTAGGAGTTACGAGGCTAATTCATAGAATTAAGTATACACAGAATTGAGGCCTGTCTCAGCGTCTCTCTCTCTCCCTTTATGCCACCATTCCCAAAGCTGGGGGTGAATATAACGGTTTCTGGAAAATACAGCGATATTTGTCAAAGGAGTTAGTGAGGGGATTAGTAACTGAAGGAGTAGGTATCTGAAAGAGTTAGTAACTGAAGGAGTTAGTGACTGAAGGAGTTAGTGACTGAAGGAGTTAGTGACTGAAGGAGTTAGTGACTGAAGGAGTTAGTGACTGAAGGAGTTAGTGACTGAAGGAGTTAGTGACTGAAGGAGTTAGTGACTGAAGAAGTTAGTGACTGAATGAGTTAGTAACTGAAGGAGTTAGTGACTGAAGGAGTTAGTGACTGAAGAAGTTAGTGACTGAATGAGTTAGTAACTGAAGGAGTTAGTGACTGAAGGAGTTAGTAACTGAAGGAGTTAGTGACTGAAGGAGTTAGTGACTGAAGAAGTTAGTGACTGAATGAGTTAGTAACTGAAGGAGTTAGTGACTGAAGGAGTTAGTGACTGAAGGAGTTAGTGACTGAAGGAGTTAGTGACTGAAGAAGTTAGTGACTGAAGGATTTAGTGACTGAAGGAGTTAGTGACTGAAGGAGTTATTGACTGAGGAAGTTAGTGACTGAAGGATTTATTAAATGAATGATAACCATTACATGGCCAGCAACATGATACCTACCACATGGCCAGCAACATGATACCTACCACATGGCCAGCAACATGATACCTACCACATGGCCAGCAACATGATACCTATCACATGGCCTGCACCATGATACCTACCACATGGCCAGCAACATGATATCTACCACATGGCCAGCAATATGATACCTACCACATGGCCAGCAACATGATACCTACCACATGGCCAGCAACATGATACCTACCACATGGCCAGCAACATGATACCTACCACATGGCCAGCACCATGATACCTACTACATGGCCAGCAACATGATATCTACCACATGGCCAGCAATATGATACCTACCACATGGCCAGCAATATGATACCTACCACATGGCCAGCAACATGATACCTACCACATGGCCAGCAACATGATACCTACCACATGGCCAGCACCATGATACCTACCACATGGCCAGCAACGTGACACCTACCACATGGCCAGAAACATGATACCTACCACATGGCCAGCAGCATGATGCCTACCACATGGCCAGCACCATGATACCTACCACATGGCCAGCACCATGACACCTACCACATGGCCAGCAAC